GAGAGAGAGAGAGAGAGAGAGAGAGAGAGATTTCATTTAAACTCAATTAAAGAATTTTAAATAATTTTATTCACTTGATTTATTTTAGAATTATTGAAAATCGATTTAAATAATAAATCGATATATAACAGTCGATAATTATTGAAATAATTAATGATCGATAATCGTATTCACGGATAATCGAAAATTGCAAAAATATATATTATAGAATCCAAATATATATTACAGGTAAAGAAGATATATATTTCGTTAATTCAATTACAAAGTATCTCTATATAAATCTATCTAAAAAAAGTATTCACGATCTAAATGTTATATTTTATCTCGCTCTTCCTCTCTCATTTCCCCGCCATCTTTGCGAAGAATTTAATTCGATTATTTCGAAATATTTTCCTTTAATTTAATCCATTAATTATCCTCTTTCGTACAATTTTAACTTTTAACATTTTTTCTCAATTTCCCGCACATTTTCTTACTGTTGATCACGTGAAATAAAATATTTCTCCCTTCGTCCTGATTTTCTTATTTATGCACGAACATATATATATATATATTTCCCTATTCAGACCGGCTGTTCCGTATTCATTACAGCGATATGTGCTGCAAATAAACATCCAAGATTGTGCACGTTGCTCGAATACCAATGAACCGTATCGGCCTCTAATTGCGCATCTTTCACGAGTTGCGCTCCACACAGATAAAACGAAACCTTACCTTGTCTCAAGAAACCTATTATATATCGACGAATACACAAAACATATATATACATATATAAACTTCACGCGATATCAATCTCAAAACTACGAAAACAAATTAAATTCAATAAATTCAAAATCAAAAAGAACACCGATATAAAATCATAAAACTTAAAACTTAAAACACCGAGAGAGAGAGAGAGAGAGAAAAAAATCCTACGATTCGAAAGAAATCTCCGAAGAAACTCGGCGCGAAATGAAAACTTGCCCCATATATATATATATACACATCCTTATCGGCGATTTCTTTCGAAACTTTTCTTTTCGACAAAAGGTTCCCGAACTCGAGGAAAGAAAAGAGGATAAAAGAGAGAGAGAGAGAGAGAAAGAACTGACCTCGCTGCGAGCCAGGCTGTAAATGGAGCTGGCGCTCTCGAACGAGCTACCCTCCGCGGCAGTGGCTGTCGCCGAGGCCGAGGCCGCTGCGCTCGACGTCTGCGGGGGCCTCGACCAGGAGCTGGTCGTTGCGGAAGTGCCCGTAGTGGTCCCGGTCTCGGTCGAGGTGTTGGCAGTGACGTAGTCCTCGGTGGTCGAGGTTTCGGACAGGTCCGTATTGGTCCGACCGCCCGAGTCGGTCCGCGCCAGGCTCAGCCCGAACTCGCTCGAGGATTGCGACTGGGGCTGGGACAAGGGGGGCCCGGGGCTTGGACGACGGAATCCGCCTCTCGGCCTTCCGTTCATCGACGTGACGCACGATTCGACGCTGAGAAGTAATTGCCTTTAAAAATCGCTTCCGATTGTACACGGGGTGTCTCTAGCACGGGCCGACGTTCGATGGTGTTTTGTTGTGATCGAACGGTGTACGTGTGTGATCGTCGATGATCTCTGTGGCTAATCTCTCCGAGTTCTTTGGAACTCGTTCTTTTTTGGAACGGTGGGTAAATAGATAATAGAAGTTTAACCCTTTGCACTCCTGTTTCGTCGAATCAACTTCAGACTCAAATCTGCGTTCGGTAGTCTCATAAGATAATTACTCATAAGATAAGATTACATAAGATTGTGAAGAACTTAGGAATCTATTTATGAAGAGATATTCTAAAAAGATCAAACTTAAATAAATATTGTCGCCATTCGAGTTGCCACAACAATCTCAGTCACTGTTGGAGAGCAAAGGGTTAATAATAGAGGGGAGGTTTAGATAGAGGGGTAAACATGTAATTTTTGCCAAAGTCAAAGTTAATTTAACTACGTTGCAAGCACGTAGAGTATTATTATTTTGAACAAAAAAAGTCTCTGATTACGAAGTTTGTATCAAGGGAGATCTGTAATACGATAGGTTAGGTCCTGTATAATGTGACTAAACATCCAAAGAGGATTCTTAGCGAAGGATTCTTCTTTCAACGATTGAACCCAAAATCCTTGAGTGTATATTCACTTGGTGAAATTTAAGGTGGGTATATTTGTATGGCGAGTAATATGGAAATGAGTGTGATGATATAAGATCCAATGATAGATTACCTTGGCGTTAACGGTTGGATAGGCGTGGCAGCCTCGAGGCGTATCCTTGGACTCGATGGGCGCGATTCCATCGTCTCTTCGATATCGAGCGCCTCCGTGTCCATCGAGGAACGTTGCTGATGCTGGAGAAGCAGTAGGTGCCTTCTCCTCGAGGACGGTGTCAAAAGGGCCAACGAGTCTGCCTGGAGCACGGTCGCCTGAGACTCGTTCCAAATTCCGTCGCTGTGGTCCCTCGTGACGTCGTTCGTTAACGAATCGCTCGATGCGAACGGAGATGTGATCATACCGGATATCCCGGTTCCAGGGCCGAAAAGTAACGGGCAAATTTGCCCGGTTTGCCGCAACGGACGTGTCGGCGACTCGTAGTCCTTCGGACTTTGTAAAATCCTTCGTGGCGCTGCGAACGTGGCGTTATTTGTTAAATTATTATTGTATCATTGTACATTTATTTCAGATTTGTCAGACTTCAACAATGAGAATAATTCGAATGATTGATATAGAGGGCGGAAAATTCGAAATTATTATTTGGAACTGTGAATCATTTGCTTTGTACTTGTTTTGTTTTCGAAAAATATTTAAGGATTTGTGCTTGATTTTCTTCAAAATTCAAGTATGTCGTGTATCGACAAGTCTGTAAATCGGATCTTTCTCTGTAAATAATGTAATGCGAATATGCGATAACATGTTTGAAGCAAATATTTTAGAAAGGAATAAGACGAGATAAAGGTGATACTATTCGGGTCAAGTTCTGTATCCCTGCTCTTTATTTGCTGCACGATTTGTTCTGTTACCCAACTCACTGACCCATACTTTCACCTTAAATCCGATATTTGGACTGGCTACCTTTCGCGCTAAATTGTTTGAAAAATTTGACGGCTTTCGAACGTCAAAGTTTAAAATTGGCCGAAGGCATAGGAAATAAATGTAGAAAGAGCAATTTTTTTTTTTTTTTTAAATTAAAATTGACAAGCGAGGAATAAACGAAAGAAATAAACGGACGCGGATATAGTTTCGATAAATCTATTTTCACGGAAAAACTTTAACAAAAATTGTAATTTCGATGTGTAATTATTATTAATTTATGCTTTTCATAAAGCATAAAGTTTTTATTTTCGCGCTATTTTATTAAATTTTCGAAAATAAGAAAAGGATAATTTTACAAAATTTAAAGTTTACGAGTGAAAAGATAAATTGAAAATATTCGTAATCAAATTACGAAATTACAATTTCTCAATTATATTTTTAATCGTGAAAATAAATGAGCTAGCAATTGAACTGGAAGAAACTGAAGAGAATTTTTATCAATTGTCGACATCAATTCGTTTTATAAAATTAATTTTGATTTATTTTAATATTGCCGTAACAACAAATCATATTTATGAAACATTTTGTATCTGTTTGTTTATGTAATGTAATTTTTTTAATTGCTTGCAAAAATTTCTATATTTCATATAAAATTATATATTTGACAAAAATTATTATTATAAAACTGAAAAATTTAATGAAAATTTTATTATGATAATTTAATATGTGATACGTTAAGCTGTAATTACGTAAAATATTTTTTTCCATTTTTTATATTAATAATATTTAATGTAAATATAAAAAAAGTTTCAAAAAAGTTTTATAGAATAAAAAGTTATTAAAAATATATAAAAAAAATATGTATTATGAAATATGAAATAATATGCCAATTATAAATAATTTAACTTCATTACAAACATTGAATATGTTTAGGATGTTAATGTACTGCTTAAAACATTATTGGAAGATCGATTTTACAAAGCAAACATAAAAATTAGTATGTAAAAATATTGATTGAAACTTATTTGCAAGTCATAAGAAATTGAAGTTTAACAAAGTTAAACGAAGCGAGATGAAGATAGAGAGAGATAAATGCTCTGTTACACCAACGTGCCACAGCATGGCGCTGTATGTCATTCTTTGTCTCGCTTCGATACAAATCTAAATTGCTTATAATTAATAAACGAGCCTCAAGCAACATTTTTGGTTATTATTTTGATTTTTAGAATCGACTCTCCAATAATATACGAATATATTAATATTCTGTAATTTATTATTGTGATGAATTGTGTATTATTTGGACACATATCTGACATTGATATATTATTAATAAATTGCTTAAAACATTTGCAGAAATGACATAACAATGAAAAATAAATATTCATATACGCAGGCAACAATGGTTAAATAACGTAAAATTTTTACATGATCTAAGCTAACTATCTCTTTTCCTTATTTAAAGCATCGTCTACGAAATTGCTAAAAACAAAAGAAAGAAGAAAAAAAAACACAATCCAATCTGACTGAGAAAAAGTCTTCCTTCGAGCATGATACAAGATTATAAATCGTCGAGAGGTGAGATAAGGAAGAGTAAAAACAGGAAATGCATAGTAGTAAGAAATTTGCGTACAAGAAAACCTTGCCAACAGACGAAATTTAGAAATTTCGTGAAAATATTTAGAATTGGTAATATAATTTTCGATAAAATTAATTCGAGAAACCACCATATATATATTACAAATTTAATTCCATTTCTAAGAAATATTCAAAACACGTATAAATTTAAAGAATATTTTCTCTTAACTCGAACATCTTATTAATTATTTAAACAAATAAATCACAAACAATCGAATATGATACCTTAGATTATTATCATTG